AAGGAGACAGACAAGGATCTGCCAAGGAGACAGACAAGGATCTGCCAAGGAGACAGACAAGGATCTGCCAAGGAATCTTCTAGAGAAAGGAAACAGCAAGAGCCAGAGCTGGAGACAGACACAAGCTCAGCACATCTGCAGACACACGGGGGCCAGTGGGGCTGGGACCAGGGACAGAAGGGGAAATGTGGTCGGAGGAGAAGAAGGGACGTGCTTCAATCACACAGCAAGAACCAGGGTTCTTACTCCAGATACCCAGACCCCAAATTTCACATCCAAAGAAAATGAACAGAAGTACCCAGGTGCTGGAAAGAATGGCCCCAGGGAAGACAGACCACAGACAGAGCCTCCCCCAAGTCTGAATAAAGCTATAGAACCAAATCTCCTGAGGGCTTCGCTCAGGGCCTGGCGGGCAGGAGGTCTCAGCAGGGTTTGTTCAGCAGTCTAGTACAGAAGTGGTTTAGATTGTTTAGAGTGCTTCTGGACCTGTTTGCAGAACCTTGGGCTCGTGGGCTTGGGGTGATCAAAGATGAGTAGATGTCCTCACTGAGGGACATGGCTTCCAGCCCTTCTCAAAGCTCTGTGTCCCCACCGCCTTGGGCTCCGTGCTCACCCTTGGGGACAAGATAAACTAGAGCTTTGCTATAAAAAGTGCTTACCGCAGAGGTGGCAAGCACACTGGTGTCTGAGTTCTTTCAGGAGGCAGTGCTCCTTTGTGGTGACAATACGGGTCTAACAGGAGTAGAGGGCTTGAAGCTCTGGTCCACCCAGCCAGTCTTGCCTCTTGCATGACCACTCAGCTAGCAAAAAGACCCAGCTGTTTACAAAGGTGCAGACAAGCTGTGGATCCCCTTGCACTCAGTGAAAGGCATGAAAGGAAATGGGTGTTGCCCTTGGATGCAGGAAGCACAGTGCTGTTGGGTGGGAGGCTCTGTGACAGCATGGGCTCGGGCAGAACCCACTTGGACTCTTCTCGTGGAAGATGTCCTGGAAAATAAGCCCATCCTTCCTTCCATCCCTTTATCCACTCTTAAGTACTGGCCTAGGGCCTTCCCTATGCTGCACAGTCGTACTGAAAACTACCAGGTGGGGTGCTGCTTCCTGGCGGCCCGATGGGGAGCACGAGGAGCACATTGCACAAATGACTGTGTAGTTAAAGTTTCCCGTGGATATGCCGAAAGATGAACGGTGGTGCAGCACAGCCAAGAAATCTTGCTCTAAGGTGGGTTCCTCAGCCATCTGAGATCACCTTCCTCAGACACAGGCCTCTGGGACAAGTCTGCAGGAAATTACAGTCCCATGGGGCTCAGGAAGGCTACAGAATCCCACTCAGACTCCCTTCCTCCCCCTCCCCTGGAAGCCTCCTCTCTGGCAAATCACTGATGGGGGCTGTGTTGAGATTGGTCCAGGGTACGTTGAGAATTTGAATTTCTAACAAGGTGGTGCTAATGGACATTTTTGAACAACACTACTCTATAAGATACTTTAAGACTTAAATAACGAAGATCTCTACTGTATTCATGAACAGAGTTTCGATAGTAAAGATATCAATTTTCCTCAAATTAAACTCTACGTTCAGTGCATCTATATACCTTATGACCCAGCAATCCTACTCAGATATTCATGTACAGCAAACCAAAAACCAGCTCACCGCCATTGAGTCGACTCCAACTCATAGCAACCCTATAGGCTTCTGTGGTTTTCCAAGACTTTAACTCTTTACGAGGGTAGCAAGCCTTGTCTTTCTCCCAGGGAGCAGCTGGTGGCTTCTAACTGCTGACCTTGCAGTTAGCAGCCCAATGCACAGCCACTGTGACCAGGGCTCCTCAGTCATGCACACAGGGAAGCACGCACAAAACATCCTTCAGTGTGCTTAATATTAGTGGGAAAGGAGAGGTCATCCAAATGCCTTTCAAGGTGAGAATGGATAAATACAGTGTAGCCCATGAATTCCATGAAATACTACCTAACAAGAAAAAATGAACGAGCCAAAGTTACATGTTTCAATATAGTTACATCCCCAAGGCAACAATGAGCAACAAAAAACAAAGTTTCCAAAAGTACAAGCAATGGGTCTACCATTACCAGAAGATGTAAAAACACCCAAGACCCGGGTGCTATTGGGGCACATAGCAAGCTGACTTCAGAAAGCTCATGGGAGATTCTTATCTTTTCATTCCACGTCTTCCAGGAACTTTCTGACGTTCTCTTTATACATACGCGGAATAAGTAGAATGGTGTATGTGAGAATGATAAATGACATCCAAATAAAACCCCTGGAGAGGGAAAAGTACACGGGGAGAGAACACACCACATCACAACCACATTATAGTATCCGAGTGGAGGAGTTTTCGTCAATAAGCTGGGCTTTTCCACATCGGAAAGCCTCAGGAAACACTGTCCAGTCTCTGATCCATAGAGAAGTCTCCTTCTTACTATCCAGAGAACAGGCCTCCCAGCCTCTACACCCACTCTCCACTTATCAACACGGTTATGTGTCAAAGGTTATGTGTCAAAGACCAGGCCATTCGGTGAAAGTCAGTGCTGTGTGACAATGGAGGATGACTATACCATGATCTAACTGCCAAATCCCATCATCACTGCCAAACCACTGGGAATCAGGGTCGGGCCAAGCGGACATATGATCTTAACCATCATGGCCAGTGTAACGCTTGCCTCACACCATGGCCTTGGCAGCTGTGAAATGGGCCTCCTGGTGCACAAGATGGTCTCAGAGTCGATTTTTCACTATTATCGTTCAATGTGGAGTGTTGGCTTACAAGACAGTAGTGTGCTGTAAGGACACAACCTTAGCCGAACTTGATGTTGGCAAGTTGATGCCTTCTCATTGCGATGCCGGGCCCACCTTTCTCCCAGAACCCTCCCCATCCACGCAGGGGACTCAGTGCTGATGCCCAGACCATGCAATGAATGCACAGCCACCTCCCATCTGTCAGTGGACGTGAAGTTGAGCAAGTTTCAGCAGCGTTTCCAGACTAAGACAGACAAGGAGCCAGGTGACCAGTGTTCCAAGGTCAGTCCATGAGAGCCCCGTGGGTCACAGTGGATCGACCCACAATTGGTCCTGGGGATCATGCCCGAGCGGGCAGCATTTTGCCCCATTGGGCATGGAGCGAGTATGGTCAGGGCCAGCTGGAGGGCAGCTCACAGTGGCATCACCCATCCCCCACTCTGCATCCACAGCCATAAACTGGATCTGCTTTCTTTCCACGGACAGCACTTCCGTGACTTAAAGAAGGCTGAGCTGTGGCCCCTGGAGACATCTTCATTCCAGGCCAAATTTACCTGACTTGGCTTATTGCAAACATGCTACACCCTCTCTTTCGCTAAAAAGGGAATGTGTTCTAAGAGGTCCAGAACTTCCCCAAGTACCTCTCGCCCTAATAAGTAAAGAAGCAGGCTGACAGGTCATCAGAGAGCAAGATAGCATTCCTCTCAGCTGCCCCTTGGGGAAGCCTCTGAGCATCCCCTCTGGCTCCTAGGCAGTCAGACTCCCACCGGAGCCCCCTGAGGAAGTGCTGGGCATTTCCCATGGGCCTGGGCATGCCACCAGAGCAGAACCAGGACAGAACCCCTATAGGCCACGGGGAGACTTACTCCCAAAATTCCATGACTGGGGAGGTGGCATTCTGCAGGGACACGTGGTTGTAGCTGCTCTCATTCAGCTTCTGGAACTCCACACAGTGCTCTAAAGGGGGAGAGAAGACAAGAAAGGACAGACAATTAACCTGCACCAGGGCAGGGCTGTGGAAATACTCGGGGCTGATGGTGCAACAGCTGCTCCGCATAAACACATTTCTTCAAAGAGTGCCGGTGGGGAAAATCGATCGTCCGTGCACAGAGGGGAGGCAGCTCACGGAACCGCTCACTCTGCTTTCAAGCAGGAGGAATGGTTTTGGGGGGCTGGGGAGCAGGCTTCGCTCTCCCATTTCTCACTCAACCTGCCAATCAAACTCTCTCCTCCCTCCCTGCTCCCACATGAATATCCCTTTCTGTTCCCACTTTCCCATGTACCGGGCCCTGTCAGCGACCCCTAACGGTGGAGGGGCATCAAGGGGTCCCCTGGGAGAGTCGTGCAGCGGAAGTTCTCTTCCCTTTAAGGTCGAAGGATACAGCCCATCAGGAAAGGATCCCCGGGTTCAGCAATCCCTCCCTCAGCTTGAGCACCTTCCTGAAACCTAATGACCAAGGAGGTGAGGATCTCTATTGCGAACATCCAAGGGCTCATCCTCCCAAGCCCAGACCAGCTCATCAGACCCACCCCTCCTCCAGCAAGACTTCCCTGAAGGCCCGCCCCGAATATTAAGAACGTTGTCACTGATAGGCCCTCCGAGAAATCACCGGTCCAAGGCTCTTATTTAAAAAGGAGGAATCTGAGGGTCAGAAATCATCAGGGACCCCTACCCACATCCTCTCCTCCTCTGGAAAGTCAGTCAGCCAGCCAGCTAGGGGTGGACATGGAGCCTGGCCTCCCTCTACTCTGTCATGGTAATTGCTTCCCCAACCCCCCACATGCCCTTGCTGGGCCAGTACTGCCTCCCACCAGGGGGGCCAAGAACCAGGCCTCTTCACTGTACCCTCTGGTCTTTATCTGGCTTCCCGAGGACAGGGGCCCGGCCTGTGCTGGTTCACCCTCTCTCTTCTCACTGGGTGAGCCCAGGGAGCTAGAGCTGCAGTCCCTCCCATGGGGGACATGTCATACTTAACAAGTGTTTGCATGCCTTTGTGCTTCTGGTTCAGTCCTGCCCAATGGGTCAGGGACCCAAAGTGACCCCAGGGGCAGAGCAGAATGACCCCAGAGGGTCTCCAGGGCCATATCTTTTCAGAAGCAGATTGCCACATCTCTCTCCCCTAGTGCAACTGGTGGGCTCAAACCACCCACGATTCAGTCAGCAGCCAAGCACTTCCCCACAGCACTGCCAAGGCTCAAGGGCCTTTAGAGAAAAACTATGCTTGCACAGCAGCTGAAGGAAGGGGTTAGAGTGCACGAGGGGCGGGAGTCTCCCCATCATTCACCTTCTCCCCTTTCCTCTCAACTGGCGGTAAGCCTTCTCTGCACAGCTGTGGGCTGTGGGGTCCCCAACAGGTCCCCAGAAGTGTCTGGAAGCCTCATGCCAGACGTGTGGCCTTGTCCAGAGGACGGCAGCCCAGCTCTCATCTAAGTTCTCTAAGATAGTGTTTCTCAAAAGGAAAAAAAGTTTCCAGAAGAAAAGCTTTCTCAGATTCCCACGGCCAACAAGTCACTGTTATTAAAATGGCATAAGCATGTACAAATGAAGCAAGGCATGATCATAAAGTGATACTCTGTCTGATGATGTGATGCGTACAAGCCGAGCCCCAGAAGTAAGTGTGCCAAGCAAATGCCCACACCACCAGATGGACGTCTACGGTCACGCTGCAGTGTGAAGTGAAACAGCCTTCCCAGCCGAGAGAGGAGCTGGCAGGTAGGAGGCAGGCTCTGCTGAGTTCAACCTGCCTTCTTTTCCACAGTCGGGCATCGGGCATCGGGCTGCTAACTGAGAGGCAGGAGGTCGGGTTCCTCCGAGCGCAGCCTCAGAAGGGAAGCCTGGGGACCAACTTCAGAAACCACAGACACCCGTGCTACATCTGCGCTGATACTGAGAGTCGGGGGTCGATCCCGCAGCAAGCAGTTGGTTATTTGAGAGTCAATTCAACCACAGCTTTTCTGGAAGACCTTTGTCCCTACCATTTGTTAAGTTTCCCCAAGCCTTTATGTCAGGAGCCCCGGTGGTGCCCTGGTTACGTGCTGGGCTGGGACCCACACGGTCGGCAGTTCGAAACCACCAGCAGCTCCTCGGAAGAAAGACCGGGCTTTCTGCTCCCACCAACAGGCACAGTCTCAGACGCCCACGGGGGTCCTGTGAGTCAGCACGGACTCCGTGGGAGGGAGGCGAGTTCACCCTTTGGGAACTAAATCCCCCAGATGGGTTTTCCCTTTGCAATCGATGTTCTACGTGCCACAAATACACGCCGAAGTCGTCAACAAGTTCAAAGTTGGGAAGGAAACCTCTGACTGTCCTCCGCCAGAAGGGGCGTGTGCAGATGACCCAGTACCCTCACACATTGCAAGAGCATCCCCAAAATTCCATTCTCAAAAAGGGCTCATCGGCCACCCCAAGAATATATCCGGGAACGGCTGGCTGGCACAAGACCGGGCGGTGTGCTGCTCTGCTGGACCTAAGGTTGCTACGGCTGGAACGGATTTGATGGCACTTAGCGACCAGGAGCGCCCTCAACAAACGAAAGTTCAGAATCAGGGTTCTAAGGAGAGACCCCTCTCATGTATTACTGTATGCTGGAAGCTTTGGCCCTCGTAGGCTAAGCACCAGCAGGGTCCCCCATGGTGGACGGGTCTCAGTGGAGCTTCCAGGCTAAGACTGATCAGGAAGAAAAGCTAGGTGCTGTGTTTCTGGAAGCTAGCCAAAGTAACCCCGCAGAGAGGCGCAGAGCACTGGCTGACGTAGTGCTGGAAGGGGAGGCCTCTGGGCGGGAAGGTGCACAAAACCCACAGCGGCCACGTGGTGGACATGAGCAGACCACGTGGCCCTTCCTTCCACTGTACACAGGCCACCAGGGGTCTGCCTTAACTGGAAAGCAATGGACAAAACAGGGGGTGCAGGGGCACAAACTCCATGGGAGTGGACAGGGCGAGGGTCCCACTGGGTTAGAAGGCTGACCGTAGGACTCTCTAGTCCAAAGGCGGATGTCCCTTCTGTGGGGGATCCCTACTCTCCCCAGCCTGGCCGCAGCACAGCCCCCAGGATAGCGGGCCACCGGCAGCACAGGGTCCAAGGCGGAGGGGAACCAGGCCACAGCGTGTGCGTCTGCTCCAGCCAAAAGCAGCAGCTCCCGGAGTGCCGCTGAGAAGAGGCTGGAGCCCAGGCCAGAGTCCAAAGGAGAGCACACCACAGGCGATTCGCCATGTCTGCTGTTAGCATGCCGTCATGTCATGAACCGGGGTGGGCTGGCATTTAGCTGCCCCGAGGTTACAAGACTCCACGTTGATAGGGTGACACGTTGCCATACCAAGAGTATACCAGAATCGAAAGCAGCCTAAACACGATCCAGTCCAGGGATGACTCAAATGTCCACGTGGTCGGGCAGGTGTAGTAACAATGCAAGGCAAGCAGGTGGGACCCACGAGAAGACAGATGCAGCCCCCCACCCCTGCCAAGGCAGCGCTGCCAGCCGGTCTCCTTTGTCCTGAGCAGCTAGAGAGCTGCATTTCCATGTGAATCTTCTGCTTCTGAGGCATTTGGCAGCTAACGACTACATCACCTTTAACTTGTTTCAGTTTGAGATCTGCCCCTGCCTGTAGGGCCCCTGCCTGCAGGCCTTGATCTAGTCAAACCCTCTCCTTGTCTGCAGGAAAATCAGACACTCTGCCAGGAGCAGGGACCCTGGCAAATGGTAGAGGCGGAATCAGAAGCCCAGGCCCCTGAGCCCTCGGCCCGCTCTGCCCGCAGGCTCAGCCTCTGTGGGTCACAGAGAGCAAAGAGCACAGTCACCCTGCCCGCTGACCCGGCCAAGCCCTGGAACCAAACACTTGGCTCGGGCTGCATGTCCACGGCTCACCAACTAGCCCTGCACTGGGTGCTTGCTACGCTGACCCACCCCCTGCTGTTCATGAGGTCACCCAGGAAACTCACATGACAAGACAGAAGGGCCTAGAGGGTCCCTCCCGGGGGCCATACCTGTGTTCCACTCGTGCCCACAAGTGGCCCAGGGGAGCTCGGTGGTGAAGCAGTTGCTCAGGTAGAAGATGGCCCAGGCGAGGATGATGATGTAGTAGACGTTGAGATGGGCCTCAATCACCTGCGTGGCATAGCCGATGCCTGCGTGCACAAAGCAAAGACAGCCACGTGGGTTGGTCTCCGCTCCGGATGGCATACGTGGCACCTGCTGGCGCCTACATCCCTTTTCTGATTGACTCAGCACTTACCTTCAAACAAAGGGCAGACCTTCCTCCAACACGTAATGCCGCCTTCACTGGTGAACTGCCCCAGGGCCGTTTCCAGGAAAAACACGGGGATCCCACAGCAGATAAAAAACACTACGTAGGGGATCAGGAACGCCCCTGCCAACAGAAGCAAAGGCGTGAACGTGGCCCCCGCCAGGTCAGGTTCAGTGCCGCCCATCTCTCATAAGCACCCACCACGCCTGGCTCGCAGACCATTAATGAGCGCTGCAGACCATTAACGAGCTCTGCTGACGACACGGCAAGGCTGGGGCTTCAAGTCCACCCAGAGGGAACCTGGAGGCAAGGCCTGGCAGGCTGCTCCTGAGGACCCTGAAAACTCTAAGGGGCTGGGTCCGCTCTCTCAGCCACGGGGCTGCCAGGAACTCGACGGGACTCGCAGTGACTAGTGGCTCCATTTATTTTGCTTTCCTGTCTACACATTACGACATGTAACCTGAGCGTGAGGTCACGTCCCCGCCATGAGGGTGAGAGTCCGAGACACGTGTGCAGGTCTGTGTTCTCTCTCACCTGAGGCAAGTCTCTCACAAAGTCCCGAACTTCCTTACCTGTCAGCTGAGGCTTTCATATGTCATACCTGCATGTCCCATATCCCAGGTGAGACTGGGAACTGTTTGGTTCGTTCGGCCCTGTTACGTGTGCATTTCCTTCCCAGCCTGGGTCAAAGCCTTTTCCTTCCTGAACAGTGCCTCCTTCCTTTCCATTCTAAAGTCATCTCAAAGGGGTGGTCGAAGGGGCTCCTTGGTGAATATCGGCGAGCAGTATTTTCAGGCAGCCACACAGCGGCCGTGACCATGCTGGGGGTGGGTGGGTGATGCCCCCATGTATGGAGATGAATGGTCAGGAATTGGCAGCAAGAATGGGCCCAGCAGGGCCAGCTTTGAGTGGATGTGAGGAAAGACTGCCCCGAGTTTCCGTGCTTCTCTCTTGACAGCCAATCCCATAGTGCAGGTCCTTCTGGAAACAGACCCAAGAACTCAGGTGAACAGGACTCACCACAACCAGAAGGGGTTTTTTTCAAATCCCTCTCTCCCCCGGTCCAGTAACAACGCCTAAATGAGCATGCAATTCCCACCACCTGATCTCACAGGTGGAGGCTTTAACCGAAAGAGCCTTGTGCTAAATGAAGTCATTTTCACCACAAGCGATCAATGGCTGCAACTGGGACCAATCCTGGTAACAGGGCCCACCGCATTCAGGTTGTAAAGGATCTTAGCTTTTCGGGGCAAGAGTCGTATTAAGTTTTCACGTCGGGGAAGAAATAACTCAAACTCTCGTGGAGATGCATGAGCAGAGCTGTGTTGGTTTTGGTTTGTTTTGTTTAAAGTAAGCATTTGAGAGCAGATAATCTACCGAGGCTGGGAAGGAAACAGTATGTCAAAGGGGAGAGGAGCTCCTGTTTTTGATGCTTTTTGTTTTTTTCCTCTAAACTTCAGCAATTCAAACAAGCCATCGTGTATTCCTTACTACATTGTAATTTACCTGTGAATCTTCCCTAAACAAACAGATGACATTTTTCTGCGAAGATTTTTGTTTGGCCTGTGTGCCCCCAAACTTAGTCATCCTTCAGATAACATGCTCAATCACACCAAGCTATCTGCTGTGTGCCCACTGGAGGCTCTTGGCAAGTCGCAGTGAAGATACAATGACTCATTTAAAACCCTGCTCACTACAACCTTCTTTAAAAAAAAACAACCCCACGGTGGCAGAATTTGTAATTAAGTCAACATTCCCTGTTCCCTGCTTTCAGGAATGCTTTTGGTTTGGCCATGATTCCCTCTCTTGAAAAGATAAAAAAGTTGTTAACACAATTTTTGTCTGAGCTGACCCTAAAGGTTTTCCACAAGTTTCAAGGGCTGAACCTGCACGGAGGGGTGCAGCTCAGAGCTCAGAGTTTGTGTCGGGGGCGCGGGGTCTCTGAGTCCGTTCCTTCTCCCCAGCCAAGCGGCCAGCACCAGCCTCTGCTTCATTACCAGTGCAGGGCAGGCTTGGGGCAGCCTGTGCCCAGGGATGAATGTTCCCAAGAAGAAGGCCTGGGCCAAGGACCGCCCTCCTCCCTCTCTTCAGCCACTCACACAGGAAGTCCTTGCCAGCCAAATTCTGGGCTACCTTCTTTGAGGCTTAAGACTTGCTGGGGGAGGGGGTATAGCAAAAAAAGAGAGGCAGTGGAATATACAGACAGGAGGCTTTCTCTTAAAGCAACTAATACCACTGAAATGAGTTTGACAGGAGCCTTTGCCATGAGCCTGTGTCTGGCCTACTAATATGACAGGTCAGGGATTCCTGAAGTCTGGGACCCTTCCCCTGAGCTGGGAGGTTTGTGGGTACCCTGGGCTCTTCCCCTAAGCTGGAGGTTTGCAGGTACCCTGGGCTCTTCCCCTAAGCTGGGGTGAGCTGAGAGGTTTGTGGGTCCCCTGCGACATTGGCCATCCAAGTGTTTTGCCAGGTTGTCACGAGAAACAGACTGTCCTCACCTTCCTTTCTGGGGGAACCCAAGATGACAGAACAGGCCACTAAAGCACCCCGAAATGCAGAGCAATGAGTACACCGCCGTCCCCAGCCCAGGGCTTCAGCTGGAAGGCTAAAGGAGCAGGGGCACCCTCTGCCTCTGCCCCCAAATATCTAAATAAAGTAAACACTACATCCGTGTTTCTGCCATTTGTTGCGGGCCACTCTGAGGTCAATACAGAAAACTGCTTAGTGCCAATAGTTCCACGAGGGTGTCCTAATAAAATATTAGACCAGGGGGCAGGGCGGCGACTGAAGAGTCCGCCCAGGGAAGCAGGCAACCACGGTTCCGCTGAAAGTTCTCCAGTAGCCCTCTGGTATCAGAAACCCATTTCTGATCCTTGTTGTGTGTGCAAAATGGGTCTATTCCTGTCCAGCTGCTGGTGGTAGCTGTGCGCATTCAACTCGCGGGCACAGGCGAAGCCCAGCGCTTGGTGCCTGGCGTGTCCGCCAGCGTTTGAATTCCGGGCCTACTCTCTACCTTAATATAGGGTCCCTCCCCTCTGTCCCTGGTAAAGTTAACGGGGTGGGGGTGGAGGTGGGGCCCAAAGGGACCCAGCAGGGATGAAAAAACGAAGGGGTCCTTCCGCCCCTCCATCCTTCTCTGCACCCTTGCTGGGAACACGCGCGCAGGCAGGTGGCACTCTCAGGTGCGAAGCAGTACTACTAAGCGCGCAAGCTTCAGTCAGCCAGGCGGGTCTTGCCCGTGGGAGCTCTGGCGCCAGCCTTCCTGGGACAGGGGTTCTCCGCCAGGTCTTGCTTCCCGCAGGCGCGGGAGAGGGTCTCCGCGGGCCCCCCGTGCTGCCCGCGCCCGCGCGCGTGCGCGCCCTCACCTCCTCCGTTCTTGTAGCACAGGTAGGGGAAGCGCCACACGTTGCCCAGCCCGATGATCTCGCCCGCCACGCTCAGCACGAACTCCACCTTGTTGTTCCAGTGGCCGCGCTCGTGGACCGCCTTCGGGTCGCGCGCGGGCGCCGCGCTCCTGTCGCCGTCGCCGCCGCCGCCGCCCGGCGCCTCGGTCTCCCGCACCTCCTCCGCAGCGTTCCCGTTGCCCAGGGGCAGCGCCTTCTCCGCCGTCATGGCCGCGGTGGCTGCCTCGTGCGCCCGCCGGCTCTGCGCCGCCGCTCCGGGCGGGCTGGCTTTTCAGGCGGCGCGAGCGGGCGGGAGGGGGACGCAGGGGGTGGAGCTGAGCGGCCGGGCCGGCCAGCGCGGCGATGGACAGGGTGCGGTGGCCGGCCCCTGGCTCCAGGCTCCAGGGAGAGCGCACCTAGGGCGCGCGAGCATCTTGTCGCCGGCAACTTGTGCAGAGATTCTTCCCCGCAGGGCTACCTCCTGGCCTCTTGAAATAAGAGAGGACTTGTCTGTTCAGACCTCGACCTGGACCAAGGCCAAGCCAAGTTCCACCACCCTCTGGTCTGCGTCCCACCCTCTTAGGCCTTGGTTTCTCTCTGCGCAGACAGCCACCATGAGACACCCTGGACCAGGCTTCCCCAACTGTGCTCCAGGTTTGCGGACCATCTTCTGACCCCTGATCCTGACCCCCCTTGCTGTGAGGAGCCTGCTCCAATGTGAGTGACCGTAGGGACAACAGATCGGAACACTGTCAGTCTGGCACATCCTCACACTTGTTATTTCGGACCCATTGCTGCAGCTGTTGTGTCCAGTTCCGGCTGCCACTCCCTCCAATTATGATGTGCTTCTCCGTGTGACCTCCTGACCACATGTCCAAAGTCTCATCACTTCTATGGACATCCCGGCTCTGTACTGCCTTGTGGATGGAGTAGGTCTGGGGCATTCTGCATCACACACACACACACACACACACACACACTCACCAGGGATGCCAGCATTGCTGGCTCATGAACCATGCTGTAAAGAAGCAGAGAGCAAATGGCCCCTTGGTTTTCTTCTCAGCGCCCAGGGCCAGAGCGAGCAGGAGCTCCTACGTGTCACCCTCAGGACACTGTGACCTTGAGGCTTTGACTGGAGGGAGGCCACACTGAAGCTGTGTCCCCGCTGTATTGGCACTGCCTTTGGTCCAATCCCCTGGCCTCTGTTTCCTGATCCACAAACAGGTAAGTAAAGCATTGTCTTTCTCATGTATGCTCATATGTCTTTGTGTGGAGTCAGTTTGAGTTCTACCCACTGTTGTCACAGATTCACGTCCAGGTGACCTACATCTGATAAATCATCCAATGAGAATTCGAGGGAGCATGCCTTGGACACTTGTGGGCTCCCTGAGAGTCGCTGTTGGCATGGCAATGGTTGGTTCAAATCTGGCTCCTGGGACAGCGCCTACAAAGTACTTAGTACATTGGAAACGCTCCATGAACATCCTTCAAATCATAGGCTGTGTGCATACACACACACACACACACACACACACACACACACAGGCGGGTCGGTCAACAAGCCTGGCTACAAATCACAGAAACCTCAATTAGACAGAACTGCCAGCACGTCGAGGTCTGTGTGACTATTGTTTCATGTGTCTCCCCACGCTCATGCCAGGGCCCTCCCGTCCTGTGGGTGACCCTGGCCGGGTGTCCACAGTCATTGTAGAAGGAGGGAAGAACCTAGAGCGAGAAAGGACAGATCATTCGAGCTGCCAAGAGTCATGGCGCTAGTCGGACCCCACGCACCACAGAAAGACAGACTCCAAACCCATGGCCGCCCAGGCGGTTCCGACTCACAGGGGGCCCAAAGGACAGGGGAGCAGTGCCCGGTCGGGCTTCCAAAGCTGTCAATCTTGGCACCACTGGTGGGTTTGAACCTCTGACTTTTCAATTAGCAGAGAGCGTAACCGCTGTGCCCCCCAGTCATTTCAAGATCCTGGAAAAGCCAGCAGAAGTGCTCTCCGCAGCACCAGCTCAATGTGCCCCCACGCATGGCTCAGAGACCACCCCCACCCCTGAGGGTCCAACAGACAGATGACCTTCCAGCACGCACCCTCAGCTTCTTGGCTCTCTCCACGTACCAGAGCTCCAGGCTCTCCCCACCTCCCGCCCACCACACCCGCCCTCCACCATCTCTCCTGCCAGCCCACCGGCCTCTGTCCGCCCCTCACCCTCACTATCCTAGTTCTTGAAAGAGTAAGTTTACATGCTGTCTTCACCTCCCACTCACGGCTCAGCCCACAGCAATCTGTCGCCCACCCCCACCTCTCCTCAGAAAATGCTGCCTCTCAAGGCCCTGAGCCCTCTGAATCTGGAAGATCCTGTGACTCCTGTCGGGCCCGTGGGGGCACAATGGTTATGCAAGGGGTCAAAGGTGAGGAGGGATCTGTTAGCAAAGAAAGGTCTGGCAGAGTGTTGAGGTTAAAAGTCAACTGATCAGATCGATGTGCGTTTGGACCAGCCTCTGTCCCTACTGGGCTCTGTTACCGATCTGTCTCAGCATGGGCAGACGACGAACACTGAACTCAGCAAGCGCTGCCCTCGGACTGTAGCCGAGAGAGCGCCTGGCACATAGTGGCTGTTGGTTTGATTGAGATCGGGACGATGGTAATGATGACAGGGATGGTGTCATGCCTTCACATGAAAACCCCATGGGCCTTCTTTACCTCCGAGTTAAAATCATATCACTGACCCTGGTCTCCCAAGTCTCCTACATCCTAAACACGCCTGTCTTTTCTTCAACAATAAAGGCATATGCATGCGCGAGTGCACACACACACACACACACACACACACACACACACAGTATTCTCATTCATTTCAGGTGGCCCTTGGCTCTGTATCTAAAGCAGGCGATAAGAGAGGGATTCACCTTGACCTTGACAGCCCCCACACATGGCACATAGGAGTCAAGATACCTGAACAGCTTCTTCACAGGGCACGCAAAGCACACTGTTGCAATATTAGGGTCTCACCCAGAATCTGTATATAAACCCCCTTTGGATCTAATTACATTTTCACCTTTTTCACTTCGTATGGCCGCTCAGCATAATTAGCTCCAGGAACAGACGTCCTCTGAGCAGCTGTGATTCTCAGAGACCTGCGTGTGGAGTAAACTGAACCCACAGGAGAGAGCCAGGCTGGCTGTCGGCCCTGCCCCTGGGTATCCCTGAGCCTCTGGGCACATCACTTACTCTCTCTGAGTGCTGGTGTCCTCATTGCTTTACAATGAGCATCTCCATCGTCCTCTCCCAGGGTGGTCCCGAAGGGGAAATGAGACCCCAGCAGAGAAGAGCATTGCACACACACTAATACCTCAAGCTCACTTCTCAAGTTTAAATGCACTCCTTTATGGAGTCCAGCCAGGTCAATTGCCTCCAATTGGAGTTGAGTACATGTATGTATCCAGAGTCCATTCTCATAGCTATTTGATGGTTCTTGAAAGGCTCTATGCTAATATTTTTATTCTGTCCACACCTTCACAGCATGTTGGGGCCCCTGTGGACCCTTCCAGTGCTTTATGGTGCAGTTGAGGACCAATGACCTGGAGGGCACACTTTACGCTGTCCCCACCCAGTGCCTCATCTGTGCCCAAGCCTGGGTACACTCAGGGAGGCACACAGATGGGACAGGTTTCTGCCTCCGGTCCAGGACGGCTCTGCTGCACCAGGACAGTGGGGAGGAGGATGGGCCTGTCGGTCACCCTGCCTGCGTTCAAAGCCCAGCCCCTCCACTTGCTACTTGTCCCTTCTTGAGCCTCGGTTTCCTTATCTGTCCACTTGTCAAACTGGACTTGTGGACAGCGAGGTGATAAATCGAGACAGAATTGAAGGTGTCGCTGTGTTCTTGCTAATCGATCAACAGCCAGTGCCCAGGGAAGCAGCAGGCAAGAGCCGAACTGACACGTGGCGCAGGGATGGTCAGCTGCACAGGACATCCTGAACGCTTTAAAAAGCAAAGAGGTGTCGCTCGGGGGAATAAGGTCTTTCCCTCGTCTGTGGTGGGCAGACGGGGCACAGTGGATGAAGCCAGGGAGAAGAGAGACATGGGAACTGTGGTGCTGACTCTGCCCGAGGAACAAGCTAGTCAGCCTTCGCAGACACCCAGCCAGAGCTTCCTCAGAAGGGAGGCGGATGAGAGGACTTCGATTCACTCACGGGACGCGTTGTCGGGAACGACCCCTTCCTAGAAGAGGGTTTCAGAGCCGGGAGAGTCGTGGCTGAGGGAGAGTGGCTGATACAGCAGCAGCCAAAGTGGATTCAAACATACAATGATCACCACAGGCTGGGCAGCGTGATGTTCTCTCTGACCGGAGGTCACCGTGAGCTGGGGCCAACCCATCCGCAACTGCGAGCAATGAAAGACTAGTGTCTACCTTTCCGGGGCGACAAATGTTACATCGGCTGGTGTTTGTGAAGCTCATGGGCTTGTGTCTGGCGTACAGGCATGGTCTTCTTCAGACCACATGAAGTCAACGGCTTCCTAACTTGTTTCTCAAGGCGAACACCCAAAGTCTTCCCTCGTCCGGGGAGAGGACGTGCTACCCTCGGGCTGATTAAAGCTGCAGCGGGGTTCCTTTGCTGGACACATATTTATGGTGATGTGTTCTTTGCCAGGCATTGCGGAGAACACCCTTCTGGCCGAGCTGAAGCCAGCTCGGCTGAACCCGTGAGAGCGCCGGGTCCGTTCCCAGGGACTTTGGTGGGAGGGTGACATCTGCATGGCGTGTATATTTTACACCACCGAGAACGGTCACGGCTACACAGCAGCCCCACGTCCCAGCCCGTTGGTAAGGGCACTGAAGCAGAGGAGTGGTTAGTGATTGGACCTCGAGGTTACGGCACATGCCATGCAAGCCCCCACCCCTACCCCTGCAGTGCTTCCAGAGCACATACCTGAGGAGGGACGGGTGGTTCGCAGGTGGAAGGGAGAAGAGCAAAGGACTGGATGGAGAGGGGTCAGAGGCCACAGAAGTATCATCGTGGAGGCAGGAATGAAGACGGTGGGAATGAGGTGCCCATAGGAGACGGTGGGAATGAGGTGCCCATAGGAGAAGACTTTTAGCAGTGGATGGAGGAGCAATTTTGCAGTTTAAAAAAAGCTGACACTAGCTCATTAAAAAGAGATGACTGTGGCTACACTGTGAAACGTGGAGGGGCAGGGGGGAATCAGGCCACTGCAGTGGCCCACGAAGAGACGATGGCAGCGGAGAGTCG